GATTTAATAGATTTTTTTCAGATTTAAAATTTTTTTAAAAATACATTAGAAGCTGTGCTTAATTTTTTATGTCATTTTAGTTCAGTCGTTGCATACTCTGTTTGAAAAAAATATCTGTAAATAATTCTCTTTTTTCTGAAAAGTTCAATAAGCAATTTTCCGTTTGTACATACCATCATGCTACCAAGAACAATGTATAAGGCAGGTACTATATTTCGTTGTTCCAACAAATCAAAAGTAACAAAATCGTTCATACTTAATCCAAATCAATCCAAAATATCTTTATGTTACTCTATTTTTTCTCTTTAAAATAAAACATAGATGACACCCCATCTAATTCAAGAGTTCAACTGTTCTTCTCCCTTCGCAGAACAAAAACAATTAACAACATAAAATTGCAATGATGTATATGGGAAATATGCGGGATGTACAAATGTCTATAAAAATTAAAATTCAATAGAATGTTCGAATATTTTTTAATGTTCTTATAGCAAAAAATACCCTGCAAGACGCTCTAAAGCCCAGAAAAATGCAACTAGAGAGTTTGACATGTAAAAAGAGTAGCGCTCACTCTTGCATATGAAGGAAAAGAAGGATAATTTTTCCTTGAGTCACATTTAATGCGAATAAATTAAGGAGTTGCAAAACGAAGAGAGCAGGTGTAAAAATTTTCTGGTTCATAAAAACAGCTTGATTATCTAAATAAAACGCCTAACCATAAGTAAAAAGATCTTTTTCATTCCGTAAAATATTATAAATCGAATAAAATTTGATTAAAAGAAAGTATTTATTAGTTAATTGCTTTTATTAGCTAATATTTTTATTAAATATTATTTTTATTATAAATATTTTTTTCAAAAGATAAGTAAGCCGAAAATTTCTGCACATTTATGAAACAAAAAGTAAAAAAATTGATAAAACAGTATACGTTTTTTTTAAAAAAAAAATTAGCTCCCCTTATTGTATAAATTTTTAATAAAAAAGTTTCTGTTTAGAATAGTTAAACTTCCTTTTTTCGAAAACCTCTTATTTATGAGCAGTTCCCTCCCTAAATCAATTAATATTCCATTTCTTGAAATGTTTAAAACTTAAGTGTCGAAGTTCTTAAACTAGTCACAGCTTTTTATATCTAGAATAAATCTCTCAATTATTAAAGAATAACACCATAACACATAAACGACAAAAATGGAAGCAATATTGAAAATTTTTTCACCGAATTTCCCTCTTAGTTTTTTTGGTGTAAATCAATGTGTGCAGTAAACGGCTAATGTAAGAAACTCTGACTAAATTGTTTTGACACTTAAATTTCAGTTATTTTAATAAGTGGATCAAATCGATTAGTGCACTTAGATCCGAAATTTGTAACACACCTGAATCAAAACAAAAGAGTGTGAAATAAACATTTTGAGTATATTTTTGGCAGCAATACAAACCACACCCTTCATTTATCATTAAGAGAAACAGTTTGACAAACCGATGATAACAATTATGAGTTTTACGCAACAACAAAAAAATTTATTTTGCTTTTCTATTTGGAACCAGAGGAAGATAACTCAGCTTTTTTTGCAGAATTTATAACTTTATTCAAATCGAGTTTCATGGCATAGCGGTAAAATTTCTTTTCAAACTTTTATTGAAACAAAATAAGAAGTTTTAAGTTTAAACCATTAGAGACCACAGTACCGTTTTGGTATCATTATGAATTTATTAGTTAAAATGTGCGTTTTTAGTTTAACATTCAACCTAGAAGTGTTCACATAAAGACTATTCGAAGCCAATATTGCCTTTTTTGGCGCATTAATCATCAGGATACTTTTGAAATTCCACAATCAAATCATAAGTGTTAACGAAATGATTATTCTAAGTCAATATTACCTTTTTTGGCACAGTGTTTAGATTACCTCTTTTTTGGAGCAATGTTCACATAACTTTTTTTCGGCTCATTAGTTACATCCGTACTATTTTAGTTCCACAATCAAATCATAAGAGCACATAAAAAAATCATTTCAATCAATATTACCATTTTGGGGCAGTGAAACCTCACACACGTTAACCATTTGCATCGTAATACTTTAGATGTCAACTTAGATGGTCAATTTATGGAGAGATTAGTCATTTTCTATCATTTTTAAGTATTTAAATTTCATTTAAGGATTTATTTTTCTAAAGGAATCCTTTATATGTTTCCTTTATTTAATTAATCAAAGTAAGGATAAGGTAATTACAATATTTCATCATGAATTTAAAATTTCGTTTACCTATTATTGAGATAGGTCACGTGCACATTAAAGATAAGTCGTGTAGAAATTTGAAGAAAAACTCGCTTTTATCCTACCCGATTTTCAAATTTAATTTTTAACATCAAAAATTGCGGATTTTGAAATTTTTAGAGGATGTGAATAAAAGCTTGTGACATTCGTATATTTTTTTTAGTTTTACGATTTCAATCGAATGTTTTCCACTGTTCACTGCTTCGATAAACAGTTTTTCATTTGGTTTTCATATCTCAAGAAATTAAATTAATTACAAATTAGTAAATTAATTGAGAAAAGAAGAAAAGAGTGAAGAACCACTTGAAACGAGTTGGTACCCTCTTTCCTAAATACAAATTCTGGCATAACAATTAATATGTTACAATGAAATGACCAGCGCAGATTCTAAAAAGTAATCTTAATATCACATGAATAATCTTTTAATATATAAATAATTTAGAAGCATTCTTTTATTTTAAAATTTTCTAAATTAACTAAAACATTCCATCAGTAACTAAGTAAATCATTCACGAAACAGCCCGTTGTGGGTCAGGGAGATCATGGAGGTTACGGCTCCACAGTTTCGTCACCAACAGCATGATTGTGGAAATGTGGTCAACACTGCGAACAGGCCGCCTTTACTTCCCAGACAAGCTGGTACCCATCAATCTTGGTGGGATTTAAATTTAACTATATTTTACATTCTAAATGTAGTGCCGAAAACAATCAATTTAAAAAAATAAAAAATGCAAGTAAAAACCACATTGAAAAAATAAAAACTACATTTTTAAACAACCCTGTCAATGTCAAAGAATGAAAATACAATAAACACAGAACAAATGATGATTTGAGCAAGAGGACAAGATATTTTTCAAATTATTAATATAAAACTTTGCTTTTAAAATATTCAAAGAATTGATAAAACAGTCTAATGTATTCTATTTAAAACCATTTGTCGACAAAATGAAATTGCATTATTCAGAATATTATTTGGCCGTCCTTAATATTTAGGTTTATTATTCATCTTATTATTATTAGTCATTATCAGTAATCTTATGATTATTAATCTTATTATTATTTATTTTATAATTATCAGCCGTCGTTATTATTATTAGTCTGTAACGAAATAGATCAAAATATTAAACGAATTATTTAAGCATTAGGAAGCTTCAAATCTTCAAGTAAAACGAAATGAGCACAAGCAAAGTCGGCAAATATTAAGGGTATAACACTAATTGGTACCATTTAAACAAAAGTCTGTGTACCATTTAAGCATAATACCCATGAATAGAAGCACCAAGTATCATTTGCCAAACGAGCTAAATTTTTATACACTAAAAGTGTAAAACAATTCTTTAGGGATATTAAAGTAAAGTGATAACAAAAAAAATGAAAAGGAATCTGCTAACTTTCGCCAAACGAGCCATAAAAAATATTTGGTAGAACAATTTTTAAAAATGCTTGTAAACATGTAAATCAACGCAGAAAAATTATTTAAAAATATTCAAAAGCATTAAATCCGTTAATCCAATTTACTAATATATGAATACTTTTATAATCAACATTTCTTTCTGAAATATAACTAATTACCTTTATTTCGGAGGAAGAGGGCAGGATCTATATTAGGTACCGAATCTCACGAGACCCGGCTTTTATATAAGAGCAGAAAATGCGATTTTTGCTTAGAAATATATGTAAATTAGAAGAAAATTAACTAAAAAAAGGGATTAAATATTTCTTTAAAAAGATTTATTAAATTTAATTAACTTTTTTAGTCATTTTTAATTTTTGCATAAAATCATTAAATTTAATTTTTTGCATTTCTTGCATAGTTATCATAATGGGATATTTTACAGGTTCTTGATTATTTCTTTACATTTCGATTAGGATACAAAATTCCCAAGAGATAAAATATTAATATGCTGTAAAAATGTCTAAGAAGTTACTTAAACCGTATGCCCTACCTTTCTTTTTAATTTTTATTTTATTTAAAAACTCCGAAAAAAGAAAGTAAATACTGTTACATTTTTACATAGAAAATCGACTTGTAAAGTAATAAAAACAGAAAAATATATCATTAATGTAATAGAAATTATTTACAAATTAAATGTTAAAATTGATTGAAGCGTAAAATTGTAATTGCAATATATTGGTCAAACGTTGATGCCGACTTTATTAATAAATTAGCTACTTATTAACTGTTACCACAATAACCAGTAGTACAAATTAACAATTAAAATTACTAGCGTATAATATATATTACTAGCGTAGTATATATTACTAGCGTCATACTATATAACTAGCGTCAATAACAGTTTGCAAATTTTTTTATGGCTTCCCTAAACGGATAAGTACCATTGTTTTGAATAAAGAAATTATATTTACTAAGTGAATAAAAACCATTGTTTAAAATAGAAAATTTTATTTTTTCTAAGCGGATGAGTACCATTATTTTAAATAAAAATTTTATTTTTACTAGGCGAATAAGTACAATTTTTTTAAATAAAGAAATTATTTTTACTTAACGAATAATAATCATTGCTTAAAATTAAGTAAAAATTATTTTTACTTATCGGATAAGTACCATTGCTTTAAGTAAAAAAAATTATTTTTACTAAAAGGATAAGTACCATTGTTTCAAATAAAAAAAAATTTACTTTTACTAAACAGATAAGTACCATTGTTTTAAGTAAAAAATTTTATTTAATGGCATTTTTGTTAATAAAAAATTATCATGATAATACTTACGTGCAGCACAGAAGCACGCTATCAGGCTAAACTTGAAAATATTTGGCATGTCGAATAAAAACATAGTGTTAATCTCTTTTGCAACTTGGCATCGAATCTATAATTCTTCAGAAAAAATGAGATTATAAATTGCAATTTTTCCGAAATTATAATCCTTTAAACAATTTTTATAACTCACAAAATGTAAAATAATCACAAATAATGTAATTAAATTCAAACTGCATATATCCTTGATTGATACGTTTCTCAATTTGAATAATTCCCAAATTATATAAAAATTTTTGCTGTTTTAAGGTAAATCTATCCAGCAAAGACTCAAATCCAAATAATTGTTATTAAAAGCACAGCTGTGAAAAATATTTTTCGAGAATAATTTTTTCCAGCAACTCCTTGTCTTTTAATAGATGTTTTTTTTTTTTTTTTTAANTTTTTTTTTTTTTTTTGAAATATATACAGCAAAATCACTGCTATTTTTGGAGTATTTGGCTGATTGTAACAAAAAGTTCGATACGACAATTTTCAACAATATTCACATTTCTTAAAATCTAATTTTCTATCTCACCATTTCCGAATTAAATTTAGCAATAATAAAAAATATATTTGTGAATAATTCGAACGAAAAGGTAAAGTTTTGAAGGAGTTGTTCTGTCCAATGAAAACGTCGTAAAAGTTTTGGGGAAGCATGAGGAACAATCGTCGAAGCGGAGAATTCTGAAGGACTATCGGGCCGTATTTCGAATGTTCGAATGCCGCCGCAACAATCGCCCCCTCGCGGCTGTTTTTTCCTGGTCGATGGCTTTATTCTAAAGCGAGATTCGCCTATTTCTTTTGAAAATAGATTTCGGTATAAAATTTTGGCATTAAAATATTCCGTTGGAGCTAATGATATTTATAGAATGATTTCGTATTTTTAAACATTAAAGCAGTTATTATTTTTTTTCTGTATAGTCTAGGTATGAGCCGTACTGTTATAGTCTAGGTACGAGCCGTTCTGTATAGTTTAGGTATGAGCCGTTCTGTATAGTCTAGGTATGAGCCGTTCTGTATAGTGTAGGTATGAGCCATTCTGTATAGTTTAGGTATGAGCCGTTCTGTATAGTCTATGTATGAACCGTTCTGTATAGTCTAGGTATGAGCAGTTCTGTATAGTCTAGGTATGAGCCGCGATGGTTCAGGGGATAGAGCGTTAGTCCTCCAACGAGGTGAACCGGGTTTGAATCCCAGCGATGGCAGGTCGATACGAATCCGCATCCAGCTTTCACCGACCACAGTGCTGATGTGAAATATCCTCAGTGGTAAACGGATAATGGGTTAGAGTCCCTTTACCGTCAAACTAACCGTGGGAGGTTCTTGTGGTCATCCTCTCCATGTAACACAATTGCGGATTAATTCCATCAAAAAGTCATCCACAAGCAAAATTTCTCCCAATACTTGATCCAGGAGTTCCCTTGTCTTCGGGATCGGGTTCAAAATTACAAGGCTACGGAGTTGAACATTAGTAGTCGGAAACCCAAAATTGGGTCAGCTGTTCAACGACGGTTATAAAATAAAATTAAATAGTCTAGGTATCAGAACTTGAAAAGTCACAAAATTTTGCAAGCCCTGCCGGGTATGTTACTCTACAATATACATCCCCTAATAAAACTTTAAACATCTCGGAACATAATTTTTTGATTACATGAACATACGAATGCATCGATTATTAATTTGAAGATAAAAAATTATATTTACAATGTCTCCTGATATTAAAAAATCGAACCACTGACGTTGCTGTATTGAACTTAAAATTACATTTTGTCTTCCAACGCAGAAATTATATGGCCTAGAAACTTGCCATTTCGATGGATTGTATGAAAAAGTACAGAGAGCACAATTAAATGAAAATAATTAATGTTCGATATTTAGTTCGAAAATTATTAACTATTATACTCGATGCAAAAAGTACCATACGGGCAGCTCTCCAGGCCTAAAGAATGCAACTACAGAGTTGAAATTTGGCATCTTGAAACGCCCATATCTGATTATAAATTTAACACAATTTTTTTTCAAAATTTATTTTTTTTGTGAATTTTTTTGTTATTTTTTTCTTTACGCTTAATTGCTTAGCTACTCAAAAACTATAGAAGTTAAAAATGTGAAATTGCGCTGAGCTATGGAAAAAAGCACAGTAAATTCAGTAAAAAGCACAGTAAGACACCAATGTTTCATGCTGTATTTCATAACAGTAAATTATTAAAATGCTAAATATAACATTTTTCACTTATTTTGACCTAAAAAATAAGTGAATTACGAAATAATGAAAAAAAGTAAAGAAAAAATATGTTTAAAAAAAAATCAACGTCAAAGGGTTAAAACGATGTTATAAACTTTTGCGCTAATTATTTTCTTATGCAAAGAGATATAGTAAACCTATTAATAAAATTGAAATAAAATGAGAAAGGTAACTTTGTCTGAATATTTACATTTTCCTTTGCACTGAATATTTACATGATTAATTTGTAATATTTTTTTCTGAATATTTACATGCTGGTCCGAACATGTAAGTGGAAAAATACATAGATACGGGAAGGGGATCTAAGATGCTGAATGGAGCAAATAAAAATCGAAGAGGGGAAAAAATCGCTTATATTTGAAAAGTTCAAAATTTTTTAGAATTTAATAATATTAATAAGAATTTATTATGCAAAGTTATCTTACTCATTTTTACAAAAGTAAAATCTGAAAAAATTTTAAAAAAATCAACCTAACAGTCACGAATAAATGCTACAAGCATCAGTTAAGAAACAAAAAAATACAGAGCGATAATTATTAAGCAATGTGAAATTTTTTTTAAAAAAAAAATAAGATTTTGAAAAACAACCGAGTCTAAATATTTTGTATAAATTTTAAAGGTAACTACCGAAGTTTCGATTTATTTATAGTAAGATCGATATGCTGGCCACCGTATATAGAGCAGAAATATCAACACATCGATAGGCTTTATTGCTACTGAATAACTGTTTTAAGTATATTTTAGGGATTATTTATCTAAACTTGATCTTTAATAAAGAATAATCCACAAAAATATGCCACAAACGTTGAGATCTGGAGAATAAAATGACCGATGTATTCTCGTTAACTAAGTAATTCGTTTTTACCAATATAGTTAATATAGTAAAAAAAAAATTACCAAGGAATTAATCTAGAATCAAGAATATGGACTTGTTAAAATTCTTTTAACTTATTCAGCTAAATCTCGCCAATAGTTCAAAAGGTAATTCAGATGCTAAAATCAACGCACTTTTTTTAATTTATTTATTACTATTTTTTATTAACTAATTAATATTACTACTTATAATCAAGATAATCAATAACTAATATTACTTATTATCTAGATTAGTACTAATTCAAATAAATAAAAAATTTATTTGACGAGAACTACTAGAAAATTTTAAAATATTTTTATTATTATTCGCTTATTATATAAAAAAAATAAATTTGCGTGAATTTATTCTACCTTCTAAGCCTATATTTCATAGAAAATTCATTCTGAAGATTTTCTGCAGAAGATATTTTTCTGAAAAACTTCTGAAAGTACTTGATCTGCTTTTTTAGCCTAATTTTGCAGAAAATTTAGAGAACTTATTCTGAAGATTTTCAGTAGAAAATAATATCAGTACATAATTCGAAGAAAAAGTAGCTTAAGGAGTGGAGGAAATACCCTTAGATTTTTTTCAGAATTTTGTTAATTAAATCTTCAGATTATTTTTATTGGGGCAGTTACACGTCCCTAATAGATTTTAGGTCAATAAACTGAATTCTATTGAAAAATTACAATTCAGAGAATGTGTATAATGCTACAATTCCGACGAAATACGCTATTTTGTGACAAAAACGCAGACCAAAATACGAAACCAAAAACTTAAACCCCTAAGATCGATGGCTGGCCCAAGAGACCAGTAATAATTATTTTATGATGGCTTGAATGAAATTTGGATATTCTTCAGAATTTTGTAAAGAAAATCTTCAGACTATTTTTAGTGGGGCAGTTACTTGCCCGTAACAGAAGTTAATAAGGTGAACTCAAATAAAAAATTGCGATATAGAGAAAGCTACAATTCCCAATGAAATATGGTATTTCGTGACCAAAATAGGAGACAGACAATCAAAAACTTAAAACCCTTAAGATCGATGGCTGGCCCACAGGACCATGAATAATTGTTTTATAGTTCTCAGACTAAAATATCAATGGTCTCGAACTGACGAACCACCGTAAATTTCAAGCCCTGACTTCTTTATATAATTCCATAACTAAACTGTTGTTAAAAACAATGCCTGCCAGACAAATATTATGAAACAAAACACATAGGTCGATACGCTTATGCTTGATGTAAGAACATTTTTTATTTCATTTTGGAATGAATATTACTGAAATATGCTAAAACGAAAGTCACCAAACCATTGTGTTCTTCGATATTTTCGTAACTCTCTACTTAAAAATACCACCAGACGCCACCGCGACTTCAAATCATTGTTTATAAATCTGTCTTTAGATATCTGTAAACATTTATTCTAAGGGTTTCGTAAATCAAAGATTTTGTAGAGAAGAAAAAAATTTGCCCAACAGAATGATATTCTGCAATTGTAATAAAAAGCAATATTTTATTTCGTTTTCAAGCGATATAACCCACCAGGAAGAAGAAAAAAAAATTCTTAGAAATCTAAGAGAAAACATTCATTTTACAGTCAACAGTTTGCTCTTACATCTATTGCACATTTCGAAATATCGCCAAAATAGGCTGAAAATTAGATGGGCGAAGATTTAGTGCTCCTTTCAGGTCTCTGGCCTTGGCGGAATAACGTCGCTGCGGTAGCTTTTGAAGAAAATATGATTCCGTGGAAAGCTACCATTATACGGAAACCTGCATCATAATGCAGCAGAGTGGAAAAATGTCTGATTTTCCATGTTGTGGTTCTTGTTTTCGATCCTACAAATAATATTTATTGAAAATATTCAAAGAAGGGTATGATATTGTTTTCTGCATGTGTTTCGCTGACTTTCTGTGCACATTGTTTGTTTTCTTTTTCCTTAATCTATAACAATAAAAGCAGAATGTATGTCTGGCTCATTTGGATGCCGACAGTATAACAGACACTAAAAATTTATTACGAATAATAGAAATCTGGGCTAATGTGGGCAATTATTATTTATTGGAAATAATTTGCTCGATAAAGTGGAAGATCCTTAAGTTGAAAAGACTTTTTTGATCTTAATGAAATTGTTTAGACAAATATTTATAATTATGTGAAAAAATTATTACTCAAATGAATATTACGACAATTACTTATACTATAGCTCATCAAAAATGTAATTTATCACATTTGGACGTTGTTGAGCCATTGTTTGATTTGTTGATTTGATTGAATTATCAACATGTGAATTTAAATAAGTTAACATTGAGTTAAAATAAGTTATTAACATGTTATCTTATGATTCCTAAGTTCTCAAACAAAATTTGTTTAGCTAAGAAGAAAATGTAAGTAAATGATTGTGAAAATTAAAAGAATGTACCATTTGTAATAGTTCCCTACTTTATGCATATTAACTTTTTACAAAAAGAATAAATCTAATTATTCTTACTCAGGCAAACTATTTGTAGAGGCATGCAAACAGAAAACAATTATCATAAAGTAATATTTAAGATACAAAATTTTACCAGATATTGTCAAGCAACGTTGTGTGTTTATGACGTTTTTCTAAAACGTGTGCTCTTGCATAGAAGTGAAGCCTAGACTTAATTAAAAAAAAAAATAAAAAATATGATTTAATAATCAGAAAAAAAATGGCGAAAGGTTTTGGATCTGTTTGGGCCTGAAAAAATTTGTTTAAAGTCAATTTTTAGTTTTTTTTTTATACCATTTACAGTTATAAACAAGTTATTAGTAAATATTTACAATAAAAAAATTCTATGCTGTACAAAAGCATAAAATTCTTAGAAATTATGTCTATATATCATTGTTTTTCTAATTGAATTAAAAAGCAGTCAAAATGCCTTCCTTGTGGCAATATAGTGTTAAGAATCAAAGTGACAGTCATATGGCACGTCACCTGTGAACCGGTAGTTGGTCTGTATGATTGGGTATGCTGCCTCCCCCTAACCACCATTTTATTCTTTCTTTCCATGCCAAAATGTGTTAGCATATTTAATTAACATGGATAATATCAATGTATTCTCAAAGATATATCTTAATTACTAGTAGAGTTCTGTTTATCAATAGTGTAAAAATGCAGAGCAAACCAAAAATAAATAAAAAGGGAAATTTTCTTCGCCTCCTACTCTTCTCCAACATCAGTAGTAGTTGGAAGGTGTAAACCGGTTCAAAAACTTCTACTGCCGTGTTCCTGAATGTTGTTTTTCCCTTTATACACAGGGACCGCACGAAACCTTGGGGGAGACTGGTTTACATTAAGTCTATGAAAGTGAGAGTTCTTCCCCTATGTATATATTTCGACCTTGCTGCCCTATCGTGAGAGACTAAGAAAAAGATGGTCCTGAGATATTAATACAACTTGAAAAAGATAAAAATGGAAAACTGGGAATCTAAAGTCCAGAACCGTGAAGAACTGATGACTATCCAGATGCAATATGTCGTAGTAAGTTGTTATTGAAACGCATTTTTCCATTAAAAATTGTCTTATATTGTCTTATATGATCTTAAATTGTCTTATATGACCTTTAAGAGAAGAAAAATTATACATGCATATGAAAATAATTTGTTTTTAAACCAAAAATTTCGCGCTTCTTAAGAATGCTCTTAGTTTCGATTTTCCCCTAAGCTTACTCAGTGCTTGTTGAAATGAGAAAACTAAGACAATAAAAATAAATAGTAAAGCATACATTGTAAGATAGTAAAGATTACTAAAACAGCTATAATTCAATTTGCTGATAATCATAAAACTTAATTACAGGAAATAAATAAGAACATTTCAGAAAATTTCATTTTAATCAAAGTAATATTACAAACTATTTGTTAAAAATCACATATGTTATTTACATAAAAAATGATTGATGTAAAAAAAAAAATGTTGTGAATAGTTCATGAGCAAAATTATTTGTAAAAACTATTATTCGCATATCACACATCAGACATATGTCACAATTTTTGTTAAAATAATTATTCTCCTATCACACAACTTGTATTATATTATGTGTTAAAGAATTATTCCTGTTATTTGAGAGGGTAATTATTCTCGAATGCAGCATCGAGTTTATATAATTTGCTTATTAAAATAATTATTCTCAAATCAGATATTAAACCTGCATTGCAGTTCTTGTCAAAATAATTACACACCTATCAGACATCACATTCATATTGTATCATGTGATAACGCTATTAATGTCGTATGAGACTTGCATACTATTATTTACTAAAACAATTATTTTCTTATCAGTTTAATTTTACAGTTTTTGCAAATATTATTCAAAAATTTAAAACTGTTTTTTCTTTTCAGTATATTACTTTGCATTTCAGATAAAGATTCATACATAAAGTTCAGTACTTTACAAGACCTTACTCTGTTTATTATTTTCAGATGCCGCATGAGTATTATTCTTCAAACAGGGAAAGATAATTTCTCAAATTCTGCTTGCATGTATTCTTGTACTTTTTCAGTAACTTTATTCACGATGAAGTCTTCCACCAACTTTGAGATTCCAGTCAGGAGCCATTTCAATACCCAAGTCAAAGGACCAAGACCGGACAATTCGATCCAAATGGTGGATAACTCCATTATTTCGAATTCTTCTAAAACTGGCTTTGCACCCTTCTTATTCGTCTGACGGATTCGGAAGTAGAATTCTACAGTATTCACTTTACCACCTACTATGATTGATGGACCCAAGGCCATGAATTTGGCTTTTCCTGGAAAAAACAAAAATGAAAATAAATTATTAATTAGGAGAAAAAAATTTTATATAAATTTCCAAAGCTGTTTATTAAGGAATATATATAATGTGAACTTTTTCCTATATGAAGGACTTTTTGATGAAATTAACCCCCATTTACGTTACATGAAGAAAACCTCGAAAACCGTTAGCCCGATGCCAAGGGGATTCTAACTCATGATCCGTCTACCACTGAAGATATTTTACACCAGCACTGTGGTTGGTGCGAGAACAGTAAAAATCAACCAGCCACCGCTTATCTCTTAAGGGATATTCTGAAGGGGGAAAAAAACCTGTCCTTGATTCCTGGACGGTTTGAAACATTTTGCTCCTTTACCAATATCAGCCGATCTGAGCTTTCTTGAACATGTTTACAATAAATTCAGAGATATTGAAATAATTGGTCCTTTGACTTTTCAAACACACCTTGTAACTGAGGAGATTTCTTGTTTATCGAGTCTAAACTGTAGTATGTCCATATCTGGGGTAGACTATATTTGAGGGTGCCCCTTGATTCTCGCCAAGTTGTGATCGTGGTTGATCGCCAAGCTGGGCGATGTTGAAACCCAATCGTGATTCTGATTGGTTTAGATTTTAGCGTTATTTTTAAATGTTCAACGGTATATGTAATTTCAGAGGTTCGTTAGTTCTACGTTGGATACCGACTGCTAAGGTTACTTTTGCTACTGGTCTTAAAAATGACTACAGTAAATAAGATAAATCTTAAGTTTCTGTACGATTTAAATAACAACGGGAAAAAAAACAGTGATTGACTTGCTTACTCCATTAATTTTTGTTTCGATTCAAAATGCATTTTATTGGGTTTATTAATTTTGCTTATATTGGGTTCATTGCAATTTTATAAAGTTTTGGCCGATGTTTTGTTGAAATTTTCCGTTGTTTTATTGAAATATTATTATGTTTTGGCCGCTATTCCTGTTACCACGGTGTTCCGCGCAAGCAGGAATGGCGCCAAACATAAGTTGCCAATTTCGCCAAGGGACACCCTCAAGTATATTTTTACCCATATCTGTACATTTATTTGTGCATTATTCACATTGTTTTCCTTTATAACACCTTGTATCATTATGGAGCGTATAACATTTTGAAAAAAATTCGCACAGCAATCTGATACGGCAATCTAATAAGACAACTTGATGCAATCTATTATAAAATTACTTAGAAAATAATCAGTGATCAGTTATCTGAGTTTAGAACTGATTATTTTAATAGTTATATAGCATTGTTTTGGGCAGTTTGATGAAAAAATTTCGAAAGAAAGAGGAAAAGTAGAATTAAAATTATATTTGTATCAGACTGCGTATACTGGTACGAGCCCGGATATTACTCATAACTGCTGTGCTTTCAAAAGCTTTTAACTTTTAAAAAAATTGTTTTCCATCGCAAAAACAAAGTCCGATGTTCCAGCTGTTGGAAAAGCCTTCAATAAAGCTAACGTTCACAAATTTATTTCCTAATTGCCTGTATAGATTTCCGAAATAAGTAGTATTATAATGAATCTATGATGGGTTATTTTATTTCACTTATGAGAAATATTAATTATTAGAATTCTATCTGAGTACTTATGTTAACCTTAAAAGAGAATAAATAATGAATTCACTTGGGCTGTAACTGTAATTCAAAACTTATTTTCATAATTTATCCCTTTATTTCATTATTTATGTTCGTTTTAAATTCACAAGAAAGTCTGTCGCGAGCTTCAAAACTTTGCATTAATTAATGTGTAATATCTTATCAATTCGATTTCGATTATTCATGAAAGACTTCGTGATTCTTAATCGATATGCATCAAACAATTTGTCGTTACATTTAATTCAACCCTGAGTTGTGGGGACAGAAAATCTTTCAATTGCGTAACTAATTTCATATTAAAATCTATTTAGATTCATGAAAGGTTTTGCTTGCATTAAGACAAGCGATTACTGTATGCATGAACTAAGAGGCTCCGTCCTCACAATTACTGTAAAATCATTTGTTTTATTTTTTAATGATTACATTTTTAAATTATGATTAAGATATTTCATGTTTTTAGTGGATAAAGCTAGAATGAAACTAAATACCTCTGTATGATACTCTGAGATTACTGAGTCCAAGATGAGCTGAAACTGATATCGTTGTCCGAGTGGTGTTTAGCTCGCATTCATCTGTCCGACGGAGTGTAGATACTCCGCTTAACCAACCGTCGTGCAGTTTTGCCTCACCCGTAAAATTGACGTACACGATCTAGAGAAGAAAAAGTTCAGGAGGCAATTTTTACGAATATAAATTAGAATCAATATGGGAAAAAATCAAATGTTATACAATTGTTTTCCAGAGAAATTAAAAAATGCAAAAACTTATTTTTTGATCAAAAATTTGAGTGATGAAACGCGGAAGAATAAAGTTAAACTCAAAATATTGGTTGTAAATTTTATGTGTTTTGTCATTTATCATCGAAGTTTTTTATTTTTTATCGCCGATTTAATATAGAATGGGTCTCTAAATGCGGCTGATAAAATAGTTCTAAAATAGAGATGCTTCAAACATACTTCGGTGAACTTTGCTTTTGGGACATAGCACAAAGTACGTGTTTAAGCAAGTGGAAAAAGCTCAAAATACGCATTTAATAAAATAGGTGTAGCTCAAAATGCGTATTTCATATAATGGCTATTGTTCAAAAGGGGTGTTTGTAGAAATAAGCATAACATTGAACCTTTTAAATATTGTTCTTTTTTTTAAAAGAATTTACCAATGAATCCAAATAAATTTTTAATGTGATGTCATCTATTTGCATGAAACATTTAAATTCTTTTTACGTTGTCTTTTTTTTTTAAAAAAGGCATAAAAAAACAATAGTTCTTTTTACAAGGCTGCCACGCGTCCTATAAATTTGCAATAGTAGCAGTAAATTTACAATGTAGGAATTTCGATTTTTAAATACCACTAAAGGGTTTAGAAACTTACGAGCAAAGCATTCTCATATAGGTGTATTTCCTTCTAGAAAAAAAACAGATGTAAAAATAAGTAAAATTGTTTAACACGTTAAAAACTTTCTTCGTGGCAAGATTTTTTTTCCCACTGAAGACACTAGAATGTTTTCAAATCCTGAAAATGTTCAGATCTTTCAAACTTCAGAAAAATAATTTGGGAAAATGAAGATTTTGAAGAAACTGACATTGATTTGCTTTTATTTTGAAAGTTTATAAGATAGTCTGAAAATTTACATTTATAATATACTCTTCCACCCCTATCCAAAATTCTGGGTTCAACATTGAAAAGAAGCATCTTTTTTTAATTTTGTCCACTTTCTTAACACGTATTTTAAGCCATGCGCATTTTCTTTAACACACATTTTGAGCCATGTTCACTTTCTTTAACACACATTTTGAGCTATGTTCATTTTCTTTAACACACATTTTGAGCCATGTTCATTTTCTTTAACACACATTTTGAGCCATGCGCATTTTCTTTAACACACATTTTGAGCCATGCGCATTTTCTTAATTGTGAACTTTGAGCTATATCCATTATCTCACATACACATTTTCTGTCCATTTTCTTAAGTAACCATTTTGAGCAATGTTCGCTTTCATACGCTTTTGGAATAATATCGCGCAAAAATATCTTGGACTAATGTCCAGTTCAAAATCATCCTTAAAAACGCATTTTGTGTTGAATGCAAAATAAAAATAAAAATCATAAGTTTTTGAAATATAGCTAACAAAACATATAGATGGATTTTGAAAAGGCATTCTACTTTGCTTCTTTTATGGTAATCTTTCACTTTTAGAGTGTTACAGATCGCACTGGGCTTTGACAGGCAGAACAATGATATTTTAAACCTTTTTGTTTCCATTCCCTGACTTTCAGTTCGAGATAATCCTTATGGCTAATATTTTATTACATTATCTTACCATTACGTTTGGGTCTTCCTCTGGGTTTCATTGATTTCAAATTTAACATTTTTTCAAACCTTCTTTTTCTCCAATTTTTAGCCTAACTAGCCCAGGTAAACTTTTTTTTAACTTTTTTTTTTATTTCTAATGAGCTGCACAATCAGACTTGCCGATGAGCAGACCTAATGCGTTCTCCAGAGGTGGTATCCACTCTTTCAGGACCACCACAATGGGTGAGATACCGTTGGTCATGTTAATTTGGACGTCTAGTTTCTTCCACACTAGATGGCAGCACCGAGACTCTATTTGGATGCTAAAGTGCACTAGGAATTTAATTTTGCCGGAAATGACAAGAGCCAATAAGGCACTCCAAGGATCTTTTACGTGCCGCATAATCATACGACATGGCCGCTGAGGATTTTCTGCATCCCGAAAATCCGGTGTCTGGACCGGGGGTCGAACCCGCAGTCTTGGGCTCAGAAGGCCGACGACAAACCAACTGCTCCATCCAGCCACGCCCAGGTAAACTAAACGTCTCTAATTTAATGAATTGAAAGAGTTTTCTTTTATTTAATTGAATGGTCAAGTTTGATATTGTATTTAATGCTTCAATTTTTGTTTCAATTTATCCTAATATGATTTTTTTAAATTTTTCTTCAAGCTATTTTAATTCATCTAAATCTAAGTATCAGTACCCTACGTTACTACAAAATATACTAGTTAGCAAAATTTTTTAACTTAACTCTTTCGTCAAGACGGACCAGATAACTAGTTTTCCTGGAAAGACCGCTGTGTACTAGACACGAGATAATTCGTCCTCTCCACAAGGTTTCTCTATATGACAGCAGTTTGTCCTGTCACTCATTTATAAACATTTTAGCGCATTGTAGTCCATGAAATTTTGTCTTTAAGGCATTTTTCACAAGATGTCACCAGCAGCACTACTTTTAGAGCCTTTGCGATATTATTTTTATTATTTTGTTATTTTAATTTTATTATTATTATTTTTATGTCTGCAAACATAAATAAGTCACTATAGTGAGTATTGTTATTGATTGCAATCGATTATTATTTTTTAGAATAAAATAAATGAGGTTTAAAGGAATTTCAGTTTTGTTTCAATTTTAGCTCTGCGGGGAAACTCTTAGAGCAAAGAGTAGGATGAAGTGTAAAGCAGTGAAAGTGTAAAGTGTAAAGGACCACAATGAAAGTGTAAAGGAAAAGATCTTCAGACTGAGAAAAGCTCACTTATTATGAAAATAATTAATATTTTTTGAACATTGTTTAATTTTTTTTTAATTGAAAAGTAATCTGTATCACATAATGACCGAATTTTAAATTTATAGATATTAAGTTTTTTAAAAAATTCTTGGTCTTGGTGTAGTGAGAAACTTAGAGGAACTTTGGTGTAAAGTAGCTGCACCTATTTTTGGTGTTGAGACACAGTAAAATTAGGGTGAAAGCCCATGCGGGAGCCGTAGCGCGAAGTAGTAATGCATGCACCAACCTCTGTAAAAAAGAAATTCAGAATATTTTCCTTAATGAAGGAAAGTTAAAAATTTTCTTCCTTTTATAGGTATTCTGCGAATAAAATAAAATTCGTACACTCTCTAGACATGCAATTTACATTTCTTTGCCAAATATTTATGTGACTGAATAAATACTTTGTTACAAAAATATTTCTTTGGAAAGATTTTTCTGTGCCTTTATAGCGCTGTAATAAATTTCAGATTTATGTAAACATTTACGTTGAATGGCTTGAGTAAAATATTACGTTGTTAAAATCACGTATCCTTTTGTTGAAATTGCATACCGGCGGCAAGGTAAAGAGCTTCAAAATTGCATTTCATAACGCTATTGACATAAAGATTGTGTAACTATGTTTTTTTCTATCTCTTCAAAGTCGATCTTAACCAACGAACAAAAAGCAGGCTCGCACATTTCAAGGAAAATAGAATTTTTCGCTTTTATAACGCTTTTCAGAAAAGTAATAAATACTCTACAACGATGAATCGCGATGTCAACAAAGATATGATATTTTGATACATCGATCTCTTACTTTTCTTCCTGACATTTTTAGGAGGATTTTAATGGTTTTATTTAATCCAAAAATACAGAAAATGTATCAACTCTTTGCACTTTTAAAGATTTATTAGGATATAAATTAGTCAAAAAAGTCATTTTCGAAGTCATTTAGTCATTAGTCATTTTTCGAAAGTAAAATAATCGAAATTAAGCTGTTAAGAAATCGAATTATTTTAAATATGCCTGAACAATCAATAATCGTGCATAGATTAAATTTCGATGTCAGTTTAAAGGGATTTTGAATTTCTTTTAAAATTATGTGCAGTGTTTCGAATTTTGTTTTTAAATACAATATGTACCGAAATCTTCTACTTTTAAAACAATTTTGAAATTTTAAGAAATTAATACTTTTTTCAAATATGAGAAAGCATTATAATAATTCATTGTAAAATAATATTTGTAACTTGTTTTGAATTAAAAAAGAGTTCAGACTCTAACTTGTGATAAGAAAATTTTTGCCACAAGAGATAAAAAATTTTAAACCAATTTAAAATTAAAAATGCTTACTTTCTATAAGCATTTTTAAAAATGCTTATTAAAATTAAAAATACTTATTTTCTAATTTTTTATTAAAATTTTAAAATTAAATTTCCTTAAAACAAGAAATGTAAAATAATTTTTAACAAACGTAAAGTAATTTTTTGAATTTAAAAATTTGAATAAACTGAGTATAATATTGTATGTAATAATATAGTAACTGAGTATAAAAACCAAAATAACTGAGAATATAGAGCTGGCAACTACTTCGCTTTTTGCATATTATTTTATAGAGTGATAAACGATTAAATACTAAATCTTTCAAAAATTTTTAAAAGTTTAAGTTAAAAGTTTATGTAATTTAGCACACATTTTATAAGCCTTAAGGAGCTTGAACAAAGTGGAGTTGGATATAAACTTTTGAATCATTTACATGTTGTAGTATGGAAAATAACTTCACTAGCATGTTGTAGTATGGAAAATCAAATTTACAAAGCAATGAATTTACAAAGCACTAAGACAATTTTCCCAATAACCATAGATAGTTGGCAGTGCTGATAATATAAGGCTTTCATATTAACTAATTTTAGTGGGTTTTAAATAAAAGTGCCCATACGTAAATTCTCGTTCAAAAATATTCGATATTACTGTTTAAAAATCTCTAAAATTGGAATTACACATTTCTTTCTTTCTATTTCATTGGGAAAAAAATCATTAAACGAAATTATTTCAGATTATTTTGTAAGTTTTCTGAGGAATGAACGTAAAATATTTCCAGATTTCATTTAATTATATTTAAAAATATTTTGAGATATGTCATGTTAAAAATGGAAAATAAAGACACAAAAATGATCAGGGAGATGAAAATAAGGTGAAAAAATAAATCAAATCTCATCTCGTGCTCTAATTTAGATAAAATCAGAGTGTGCCATAAGGAAATGGCATCTGACATGTATCTATAGAATCTCTTTCTTAAAAAACGAAGGCAAAAAGGGGATATTCACATTGGAGATATTTAATAGATGGAAAAAAAACATAAATACGATCAAAATCTAATACAGTACAGGAAAATAGAATTGATTGCTGTAGGAAGCAGGTAGAAGTTGAAAGATTATTATTAAAAATCCCCGCAAGGTCCAACTTTCAATTAACTATTTTAAGTTTATTACATGCATATTACTCTCTGTGATTTGTCTGCTTTTGATAGCATTTTTTGTTTCTTCTTTACTTAAATTTGTACATCTTTTTTTTTAAGTTTCGCTAAGGATTCTAAAAATACATAACAGGAACATTCTTTGCAAGAAACCCTGCAAATTTTTTCATCATTTTAAAAAAATAAAAGTTTAAGTTGCTTTTAGAACTTTAAAAAAAATTAAAAGATAAAACATCTCTAAAATTTTAAATTCTTGCGTGCTGGATATATTTGCATCCTATTTAATATTTTGTTAAGCCTAAAAAGAATCATAAAATGCATAAAATATTCAATGTTCTTCTACCCATCAACAAGCTGTCACGACTTCCATACATTATGAAATGAGATGGATCACTTTTAACTTAGCAAACATTCGTGGTATGGAAGATAATTTTCCATTTATGATAACTGTGTTAAATTTGTTAGTAGATTTATTTTTAAAAAAATACCTCTTTTGAAAAAGTGGATACGTAATCTGGCAATTGCATGGGATCCAATTTGTTGTTCTTGACGTAATTGTGAACATTCTCAAGAATTTGATCGATGTATTCATCAGCTGTGGATCCTGGTATGATGGAAGTGATGGGTAGTTTCATCAAGTGTTTGTTGATCACTTTCAGTAAAGAATTGTTCAAAGCATCCTGTGAAGAAATTATGAGCATTAAATAAATAAATCAAAATTAAATTTTCGTACTAAGCATTTTAAAAATTTGACTTTTTTAAAACATATCGCAGAAAGTGTAATTTTGTATTTGATTGGGCGTGAAATTATTAAAAATATTATTGCTAGAGAGTGACATTTTTCAGTGACTTTAAAAACTAAATTATATTTTTTTACGAAACACAATTTCTCATTCTGTTTGCCTAATAAAAATTATTTCCTTTTTTAAATTATAAAATTTTAATTTCAAAATTTTGGGCCAAATAAGTTATCAAAAATTAAAAAGGCTTTATATTGATTGAAATATTCTCTAATATCTTACTTAATGAATAAAATTATTTTTCACTTTGAAAGGTTATCGAATTTTTAGCCTACTTTAAAACCCAATTTTTTGATCATTTGGTGACATCTTTTTTCAAAAAAATCTTTTGTCTTCATTAAAAACAGAAGTGGCCTTTGAAAGCTACTTCTTCTGCTGTTTTTGCAATCATTCATGGCACGTTTGATGAGTATAAATACCGGGTATATAACCCGGTAGATAGATATAGAGTAGTAGATAGATACAGAAGTAGATAGATACAGAGAATGAATCTCTATTTAAAATTAATAATGCAAGGGAACTTAAATTTTTATTTTCAACTTTAACCTACAATGGCATTCCCATATTAACAAAATATATAATGTTCAATATACAATATACCATATTGAAGCATTTTAACCAGTATAGAATTCAAAATTCGTGCAAATGTTCTAGTTGAATTAAAAATCAATTGTTACTTTATATAAAATGTTTCTATATACAAACAGATAATAACATAAATGGGTTAAAAATTCATAAAATTGCATAGAACGAAAAATAACTGAAAACTTGCAATAGTATCAAATATTAGCAGAATATACATTTTAATATACATATACAATTTAATATACAGATAAATATACGCCATAAGATATTATACAGCTAATATCCTCTTACCCAGTGAAGTATAGTTTGTCTACGATAAGAACTCTCCCCGCCACAAAGTCTGCAGCCTTCTGCTTCTATTGAAACATGAATAGCGCATTTCAGGGAGGGTAGCCTCTCTTTCATCTAGGTCTAACACAACAGACCGAAGAAAAAGATTCCCTTTTTCTCACCGACCCAAGCCAAAACTGTCCTAAAACAATGACCCCATATTCATACTTGAAATAGTTATAACTCGTTACCATAATAGCCACGGGTCCAGACGAATGGCTAAGGGAGTTCTTACTTTAGACAAACTATATAGCAACTCGACTATATCTCACATGTGTTTGATTAGACTCCTATCAGATACTCTATTAGACTCCTATCAGATACTCTATGTCATTAAAATCATTGGTTGAAATCGATCAAAATGTCATTCTGAAAATTCGAAACCAATGTAGGTCCAGTATCAAACATAGTAATTTCACTTTGTTAGTATATGATAATTCCAAGTAACTAAAAATAATCACAATGATTTAACAATTTGTTTAATTTCAAATCCATTTCGTGAGAGAAGATCCCACACAGTTAAGGATCCACCACTAGCTTTAAGAATACATTGTTCAGAATAGACTTCCTTGGGTACGACTCCAACTCAAACCCTGCCATCAGGCCCTTCCAAGCAACACGCTTACAGTCATCTACGGTACAACTAACGTGTCAACAAGCCCAGAATAAGCACTGTAATCGATGGTATAGTACAAGTAAAAGAGTTAGAGTCTGTGTTTTGCTGGCACAGCCTATCAGAAACAAATTTCGTTATGATGTCTGGAAGGACATGCCTTTTAGTCTTCTCACATAGAATTTTCTGGATATTTCACGTATTCTTGCTTCTCTGTTAACACTCAAAACTTCAAAGTTGCTGGTCTTTCAGTAAGAGTGGTTACTCATGCTGGAAAGTTCTGCATGAAAGTATATATTCATGATACGTTCTCGAAGCTATTAGTCGAGGAATGTTGAAACCTGTTGATTTCAGTCAAGTGAACATAGTTACGTTATCTAAGGTTTCATTACAAACTAGACATTTACAACAAATCCTGCATGATTTTCACTTTCCTTATGCGATCATTCATTACCTGTATATTTACATCCTGTTATTTCTAAGGTAACCAGCTTTCCGGGAAAATTGAAAAATGAAAGTTAAGTTCCTGAAGTAATATTCGTAAACTCACTGCTTCACTTTTACAATTCAATATTCTGAGAACAGAAATTCCTGGCAGAGATTCTCTAACAGAAATATTTTTTGTAAATAAATAATTTAAACGGCAGAGCAAATATTCTTTTTAAAACTTTGTGAACAATTTTTTAGTTTTCCAGGGACGCTAGTTAGCTTCGCCATTCCACGATTTATGACATTTTAATAGATAATTTCTTTTGCTTGTACCTGATTTTGCATTAAGTATTTCCTAGGAACTAAACAAAAACCTTTATTTATTTATGCATAGATTTTTTAAAGAAGAGAAAGTATTATTTGTTTGGAATTAGTGAGGTTCTTCTGCCATTTTAGGGCTTAAACTTACGCTTTTCTCCATTTCAAATCAAAAATTACGTCACCTTTTCTCCAGATGATATCAAAAAAATCATAGCTGTCTTTTCTAGCATACTCTCAAATAAGTTGTAGCTTTCTTGGATATAATTAAAGTTTTCTTTTATTGCGTTTTGTGTGACATATCTCAATACAACAAAACTTATATATCACATTTATTTTATATGTTAACACATTAAAGTTGTAAAGATAGTTTTGAATCATCCAGATATTTTAAAATAAAAACTGCATTTTATATACTATCCCCCAAACTACCGTCACTTCTAAAAATACGAAACAAATGATACAATTTCTACCCTAAAGCAGTACAACAATTATTTCTAATATCTTTAAATGTTAAGTAAACGATTTCTCTTTCTTTTACGCCACTTTCTTGGTAAAACAAAGTATTTTCTTAACAAAAGCTAAATCATCACAATTTAATTTGATTTAAAAAAAAAATTCTGAAAACAATACGCATTAAGTGTTTTCCGTAAATAGCTTATCGGATCCCAACTTTTATATCATTTTATTGGATAATATGAAGCTAATTTGAATGCATTTTCGAACGGTTAATAGAAAAAAAAACTTTTATGTGACAACTCCCCTCCTATAAATATCGATATCTTGAAAGCAAAGTGTGGTTTTGAAAGCTACCAGGAATGTTTTGTGCATCGTTAATCGATATCTTTTATTTCACCGGGTGCATAATTAACTTCGACCTCAGCTGGCGAATATTTAGTTCTACTGATAAATTCTTAAGGCGCGATGGAACAAAAGGTAGTCTGCATTTTTTTTTTTCGATTAAGAGATTGACCTCTTTGTGCAACGTAAGTCTATTAACTTTTATGTTCATCTTTTCTCATAGCTGATTATGTTACATCTATTCAGATTAAAAACTTAATTTTATATCTTTTTATTAATTTTCTTGAATTTATTTTGGAAAATTTTAAAGCCATAGTCACCTACTTATCTAGTTAAAACATTTAATGAAGCGATAAAGAAGAGTAAGCCATAGTCACCTACTATGGCTACTTATCTAGTTGAAACATTTAATGAAGCGATAAAGAAGAGTATAAAACTATAATGCACGCATTTTTTTGGAAATCCATCATATTAAGTTTTATCACATGTAGCATAATTATAATTTAAAATAAATTGACACGTGCCATTGATGTATCAAATTGGCTTATTGTATACCTTTAAATTACATAATTACGATGATAAAATTATCCCGAGATAAAAATATGATGATAAAATTACTTTAATTGAAGCGGAGACTGCACCATTATTCTTTTCTTTAAGAAACTACTTTTTCAGGCTCGATTATGAGTCTAATAAAATCAAAAAACATATACATACTGTTATATAATGCACTTATTATATATTTTTACACACCTCGTCGAAAAATGAATTATATAAATATGCATATTAGGGAACTAAAGTTAAAATTTAAGCGAAGGAAAAAAATTAACGTGACCCACAAATAAACATGATGAAAAATCTGAAAATTTTGAAAAATTCTCCATTGCAGGAGAAAACGAGGAAGAGATGAGAGGAGATTATTGAAAACATATCAAATTTTCATCAGACAATCCAACTAGCTTTTATTTCTTTTTCATCTAAATATCAATTTGCAACCCCTAATATATATGCATATTTATTTTACTTCATTTCTGACAAATACCCCGCTGCTGTTGTTTCTAATCCGAGATGTTATTATTAGGCTAAACCATCTCTATAAAATTTCAGATTTTCAAAAAGTCATTTCTGATAAATATCCTGTTGTTGCTTCGAATCCCAAATGGTATAGCTACATTATACCATCTCCATGAAACGAAAGATCTCCAAAAGGTCATTTCTGACAAATATCCTGTTGTTGCTTGGAATCCCAAATGGTATAGCTACATTATATCATCTCCATGAAACCAAAGATCTCCAAAAGGTCATTTCTGATAAATGTCCTGTTGTTGCTTCGAATCCCAAATGATAAAGCTACATTATATCATCTCCATGAAACCAAAGATCTCCAAAAGGTCATTTCTGATAAATGTCCTGTTGTTGCTTCGAATCCCAGATGGTATATCTACATTATATCATTTCCATGAATCCAAAGATCTCGAAAAGGTCATTTCTGATAAATGTCCTGTTGTTGCTTCGAATCCCAGATGGTATAGCTACATTATATCATCTCCATGAAACCAAAGATCTCCNAATCTCGTACATAAGGTCATTTCTGACAAATATCCTGTTGTTGCTTGGAATCCCAAATGGTATAGCTACATTATATCATCTCCATGAAACCAAAATCTCCAAAAGGTCATTTCTGATAAATGTCCTGTTGCTGCTTCGAATCCCAGATGGTATAGCTACATTATATCATTTCCATGAAACCAAAGATCTCCTAAATGTCATTTCTGACAAATATCCTGCTGCTGTTTATAATCTCAGATGGTATTGGTGAGTTATATTATTAACATTAAACCAAATATCACCAAAAAAGTTCAAAAATAACATATATTTCAAAAATCCTGAAAGAAAGCTGTCTTTTTCTTGGAGTATTGAGCTGGTACAGCCATTGTGGTTTATTTCCGAATAACCATGGATAAATATAAATATCCTCAATATATACGTTATTATTCATGGTGAGGATTTCGGAACACCCTGTATATTTAGTTCTAATATTTAGCTCTAAGCTTTGGGGAAGTTTTCCTTTTCCTTCGATATTCAATCGATGTAAAAATCGATGATTCTTCTTTTTTCGATAATTTAATTTGTTTTGTAAAAGGGAAATACTCAAATAGATTTTTAAAAGACTGTACAGAGAGAGAGAGAGATCTAAAATTCCCGAGAGAGTGCATCCCATTAGATAAAATACGATAGAATAAAAAAAAGGAGCTCCGGACGACAATTTGTTAGCTCAAAGGACAATAAATAAATATCGATGACATTTCGTACATATCGAAATACCCTGTAAGTTATTCTTTTATATTTTATGTTAATGACACAAAAAATGGCGTAGTTAAGAATACATTAAATACCTTTCTCGGAACAAAACAAATTTCTGTTCCTTAAGAGTTATGTTTTCTCGTGCCTTAACTATCATATTTCCCTCTTGAGTACAATTATAAATATATTAATATATGTTCTTTAACTAAACAACAAAACATTCGAAGGATTGTATAACGCATTTTTTTAAGTTAATTAATTTACTGTTTTTTTGTTACGTTAATTTTTTTTACTATTGTTCATAACTTCTTTCGCTGTACCGAATAAATTTTACTCTGAAGACTAATTTCAATAAATTATCGTGCTGTGTAAATATTTAAAAACTAAAGAGCTTCATGATAACAAATCACAGTTTGTTGTTTTTATAATTCGAGTACAGTTTATTAGACAGTTTGTTATATTTCTAAAATCTGATTTATGGATTAGTTATTGAAATTGATCATTGACATAATTTGAAACTTCCAATATGTAGATTATTTTGTAATTTGTAAACTTCAAGTTGTAATCAAATTGAAAACCTTTATATTAAATCTTAATTTTTGCGTACAAGGTGAGGCCATTTATTTTCAGGAGTTGACTAAAAAAATCTTCAAAATATTATTTGATTTACAAACACATTTAATACGTTTTGAAGTAGGCAAGAATAAGAAGTGAGTTACAATCCCGTGATGTAATTCATTTTTGTACTCTGGTAGTCAATTTTCAGAAACAACTTTTGAAATAATTGTTTGGAATGCACTGCAATTCCGACTTTTTTCTTATGACTTCTACATTCGTTAATTTGTTCAGTGCCTGCCATTCGAGAAAAAACATTCGTTAATTTCTTTTCGGATTCTGTCATCATTGTTTTTTAGTGATTTCGACATCATTAAACATTGTATTAATTAAACAATAATTTTTTTTTAATTTCTCAAGAATCACTGAGAGGACTATTTTGCAATTTTAGAAGTGCTTCTTTCATGAAACTTTTCATACTTTGAATAAAGTCTAAGCCTTTCAGGAGTTTTAGAGACCGACAATAAATTACAAAAGAACACAAGTATTTTTGTACACCCTGTGCCAAAAATTCAAGCAATAAGCTTGTAACTTGTATCAATTACTTTGGTTGTTATTTGCAATGATTGCATAAAATTTCGTAAATCTTGCTTAAATATTTATGGGATATGAACATTTTTATAAAAAATAAGTTTTTTCGTTTCATGTTTTTTTGCTAAAAATATGCAGTAAATTTAAACAAAATTTTTGGAGCAATTGGCAACAAATTACAATTTGGAGTAATAAATTACCAAACTGTTGTTTTAAAGTTATGAGTATTTATAGTAGTTTTTTTACTGCGCATGCGCGGAAAAAATTCAAAATTGTTTTTCTATAATTTTATAATGAATCATTTTTGACAACTAATGGAAAAAAATTGATTTAAATATCTTAAAAACGTAAGAAGTTTTAAATAGTATTTGTATAGCATTTGAAATTTTTGCACTTTTCAAAAGAAAGTTCTAAATGATAAGGGCCACATATTTAATTTTGTTCTTGCTGTCCAATCATTATAGGGTAGGGTAATTTGCAATATTACATAATAAAATTTGTGAGAAATCCCTGATTTTTTTAGCTTTTTTTAATAAATATGTAAACTACTTAGAAAATTGCTTGAATCTTTTTTGCATTTTTAAAATATTTAAATCAGATTCTTTTCAATAGTTGAAAAATACGATTCACTACAAAATTATGAAAAAATAATTTTAAATTTTTTCCGCGCATGTGCAGTATAAAAGAACTTTTTTAAAAACTTATATCTTTCAGATTTTTGTACAATTTTTTTTTAAAAATTTAAAACAATAATTTCGTAATTAATTTTAAATTGCGCCAAGAATTTTATTGAATATAATTAAAGTACAAAATAATACAAAAAAACATAAAACAAAAAAATTCTTTTTTTATAAAAATGTTCTTATCTGCATAAATATTTATGCTAAATTGACGAAACTTCATGCACTCATTGCAAATAATAACCAAAATCATCGATACAAGCTACAAGCTTATTGCTTGATTTTCTGGTACAGAGTTTTCAAAAATACTTTTTTTTTCTGTAATTTATTGTTGGTCTCTCAAACCTCTGAAAACTTTAAACTTTATTGCAAAGCATGTAAAATCGAATTAACTAAAAGCTTCTAAATTTTACAAAATAGAAATTAGAAATTAAAAAAATAGAAATAAAAATATCAAAAACTGAAAATGTATCTTCCATTATAGTAGGGTAGTGTATATCGCCTACCTGAAATCCGAAGTATTTTGAACAAAAGTAGCCTTTTTAAAAAACGTAAAGCCGTTCGAATATTTCCTGTTATAAAAATAAAAATTCCCACATGAAAATTAAAGCATATAAAATTAAAAAAAAACTTATATTTAAAAAAAATGTTAAACAATATTTTCATATAAAATCAACACAATACCTTTAGAAGCGGTAGAAATTTTTTAAACACATCTTTGCTGACGTCATTAAGAATTTTCAGCAAGACTTCTGTCCACTTTCCACCCCCAAGGAAGTTCTCTAAATACATCTCGACTTTTTCAAAATCAATCAATACATCAAAGTCCCTGGACGGAAAAGAAAAAAAATTCAAATACCTGAAAATAAGCCTTTAAAACACATAAATTATTATAACATATCACTATATCTTTTGTGGCTAATTCCTTAACTCTTCATATGCATAAATTGTTTTATATTTTACTGTCATGTAATGTACTCCAATCTTATCTTCAAATGCATAAATTATTTTATAATATCATTATAACTTTTTGTGATTTATCACAATCTCACAAAAAGCCCTTCAATTGCATAAATTATTCAATCATATGTCTATATCTTTTTGTGGCTTATCATAATTTAACACAATAAAACCTTCACATGCATTAATTGTTTTATCTTACAATTATATATACATGCAGCTTATTCCAATCTCGTACATAATTAACACATAACATATTACACTAAACACATAACATATAACATTAAACATTTAAATTGTTTTATCACATAGCTTTTTTTTCGGCTTATCGCAATTTTACAATAAGCCCTTCACATGTATAAACTATTTTATCATATCATTATGATTTCTGTGGCTTAATCACAATGTTTTATCTTACAGTTATATCTTTATGTAGTTTATATCAATCTCACCAGGAGCTTTTATTTATTATTTTATCAGATCACTATTTTTGTGACTTATAGCAATTTTACAATATGCCCTTCATCTGTATTAATTAATTTATTATATTTTTGTAGATTATTACAAAATTACAACAAGCCCTTCAAGCACGTAAACCATTCCAATTTAGGCAAAGAAACTAGAGAGTTTTTGAAAAATGTAATTCAAAATATGCAAATATAATTAGAGATTAAAAAAAATACGTAACATCCTATTAGTAAAAACTAAATCTCTAGGCTAAACATCTGTTGATTCTCGCAAAACGATAAGGTAAAATTTCTCTTTTTTACATTTGCATTTATGGAACATAAACGAAAAGTTTAAATTAATTCCATTATCGTAGATGTATAATCACGTCATTATTTACCTCTTTCAGCCAATATTTGCATAATGCAATTTCTCAAAATTTAATTGAGTCAATTATGGTAAGTTACTTAAAATTTAACAATAAATCACTTGGGCTTTGAAAAAGAAAATAATTTTCTAACTTATTTGAGAATAATTCTCATTGCCGAGCAATTTTTCATTTCTACTTCTTCTTGAAAATAGATGTACTTGATTTTGTTATTCCAAAATTTGTTTTTTGTTTGTTTGTTTGTTTTTTTTTTAAATTTATTCTTTTATTTTATTTCAATGAAATAAAACTTTTCTTAGATTTCCCAATTGCTGATTTAAAATACTTTTTTGAATATTTCTATCTTATGACAACACTAATGATTATAATTTACTACAATGAATATTTGAAGTACCAACGTATGCTACAACTTTTAACATTTTAAAGTTGTTTAATCTGGATATTTATATCTTTAGAATTATAAAGATCTCGACTGCATAATTTGCTATTTTATCTCAGGAGGGAAAAAAACTTAAAAACTGTATTAAGTAACTTACTGTGTCTGAACCAAATGCAAAAGCTTCATATTTAAATGCGGTTTTTGAATCTCGTTCGCCAAAGTAAAAATAATTATTTTAAAATTGTCAAATCGGTTTAATTTTTTTAAAAAAAAAATTATCGCAATTTTGTGATATCAGGTTACACATTCATCAAATTGTTTCTACCAATTTTATCTTTATAGATAAGAACATCTTTTTTATTTTGCATGACTAAACCGATCTTGTTTAGCCTGGGCAGCTACATCTTTCGTTAATTTGTTCCAATTCTTACCTTTTCAGTTTAATTTTGTCGACATGCCAATCTTCATCTATCTATCAAAAAGCTCGCTGTTTTTAAGATTACTTATCTCGATTCGATAATTAACATCACCAGCCTCCGCTAGTAATTAAACCCGAAGGACCCTAAGGACAGTAGAGCTTAGTAAAATTAGACCCCTACTTGCAAAACATGCTTCGACCACTCGGTTTCAAACGCAATTGGCCGCCGTTACAGTTTGATCGGACAGGTCTTAGATGCTACTAAAACGAAAGGTCAATGCAATCATTGCGTTCTGTAGTTAGAATGTCTTTTATACTAGTGAATTGATGTTTAATAATCATGCTGGTAGTTACGTCACATTCTGAGATATTTCTCGATAGTATTAGTATCAGTGATTAATTCTCCTTATTTGAAGGGATAATCTATACCCGTGGCAAACATGACACCTTATATTGTTTATAGTACGATATATAATGTTCCGCCTCAATATAATAGTTCACGCTAATATAATTTATAGCTGTGTTGGAAGAGCAGGTAACAAATACATATTTTTATTGATAAGAATAGTCTTAATTATGACTAACTTAATCATAAAGAACATAATACTTTAAATTAATATTATGGAAAATATTATAATTTCCCGTAACAGGTCACTCAACCTCTATAAAACAAAAACTCAGTCTGAAAAACTATTAACTTCAAAAAAGTCGTCTCGTCTGTTTCCTTTATTTGATATCGTTGTGCTGCTATTTTATTAATGCTTATATTAACCTGATTTTAAGACTTTTACAACTCTTTATTTATGATTCTTGGTGTTGAAGTTGATCAAGTTGATCAAGTTAATCTATTCGAAAAGTGAGCGGATATGAAAAACCTACAAGAATACTCATCCCAATAGGTAAAAAAGGCACAATTTCAGTGTCTTCATTTAAAAGCAAAGTTTAAATTTTAAACTAGAACTGGACATTCATATCTAGACCATGCGTTGGCGAATGCTTTTCCGAGTTGTCGTCAGCACGAACATTAGTCTTTCTAGCCTGTAATGGGATGCCTGCAAGTGACGTAGTGTGGGTATCTCGAATCTGATTGGATATTGAAACGAATGTGGCATTTGTTTGCGTTAGCAACTGTTCTTTCCATTCTATTTCAAGTAAGCCAAGCCCATCTAGTATCAATTCTCTTAAGCGACATTTTCTAAATTCTTTCGCAAAGACTCTTTCTTAAAAATGTCAATTCTTTCACTATACATTTACACAGAGACTTAATACAAAGACAGGCACGAAGCCATGTGGAAAAAAAAACAAACTAATTAAACATTGAAGTTGCCAGGTTCACAAAACAAAAATATATCACGGTTACAATAAAATACGCAAACAAATAATAAATCTAAGTTAAGTAAAATAAGTAGACAAAAAATAATTATATTTCAACTAATTCCATGTGCGATACGGCTCCGTATTTAATTAACTTATTGTTAATTAACATTCTAACTTATGTGGAGAAACTTAGTTCAATTTTAATGCGCCATTTCGCTGATAAAGATTAGCTGGTGCTGACGTCATTGCTCACGTGTGTGGGCATGGGAGGTCTTCTTCTTCTTAAAGTGCAGGTACCCAATTAACGAATTTCAATACATTGTTAATAATTATGATATTTAATAATATATAACTATATTTTCCAATTTTATCTTAGTTTTATTATTTTTACTCTGGTCATTGTTTTTATTTCCTAAATAAAATTTATTTACACTCAAGAAGCTGTAAAATCTGAAAATTTCAGTACATTTGTTTTACTTGTATTCAGAATTCAAATTCTAAAACCATCTACGATATCTATAAAAGATGTTTCAATAAGACTGCCGTTATTATATATTTTGAAAATCTATGTGAAAATAAAGGGAAAAAAACGCTGTACACTGTAAATTAATTTCTGGCTTCCAGTATTAAAAAACTGAATTCAATCGAAATAAATATGTTTGAATTTTTTTACAATATTTTTGAAGCGTTTCAACCTGACAAAATTTCCAGTAAAGTATAAAACTAACGAATTCTCACTTTACGTGAAATTCCCCGGTATACTAACGGGATATCTTAACGTAAATAGAATAAGATTTCATAAAATTGTACCGTGCACAAAATTTTAAAAAAAAACGAAGCAAAATAACTTTTGAACTGTTTAAGGTTAGGCTTTCGTTTCATTAAGATTGAAGTTCAGAACATTACAATCAAACTATTAGATCAGAAGTTATTAAGGTATCTCGTTTTTAGTCTTGCATTCTGTACAATATTTTTTTATTCGTTGTAAAATGTAGAAAATTAATGTCATTTTCATGAAAAATTTAACAGTTCCCTTTAAAGAAACATGATATATTAACGTTTTTTGTTTCCTTACAAAAGAGATGGTGTTTGTAAAATTTCACAAAACTACTATTGCAGAATGTAATCGATATACTTTGATAATTGAAGGTGCGTGTCCCCTTCAGACATCTCCAGAGAAGCCTTTGCTGCCAGGCTAAGGTTGTAAGATTCCACCCAAAACTCTCCATTTCCTCTGATGGGTACAATTTTGATCACCTTCCCATCGATGCTATAGTTGCCCGAGCCTTTCATCCACGGAATTCGCAGATGAAACTGTAAAGACAGGTTTTGGATGTCTGCATTCATATACTCCATGACAAAACCTGACATTCCTAGAAAAGATAAAGATACATTGGAAATAATCAGGAAAAAATGAAAACTAAGAAAATGACGAAAGTAATCCTTTGTGATATAGGGTAAACTAACCAGTGAAGGAACACTTAAGCTTCGCTTGCCTTTTAAAAAATCATATTAATTTCAAAATTCGTAATTTTAGTTAAATGACAGTGTCAGCATATTTGTTACTAATTGCAAATTATGAAGAAAAATTTTTTTAGAGAACTTACATAATATTGTTTTAAAGTTTTGGAGGTTCAAATAACAAGTAGTAAGAAGACCAAGTGAAGGAACAGCTCTTACCAGTGAAGGAACACAAAATTGCCCAGTAAAGGAACACTTAATTTCGATTATTTTTTAATGCTCTTTATGAATTTATTAGCCGTACAAATATATAAAAACAAGACTATTTATGAAATTATTACATACAAGTACTTGTAAAATGCTAACTTTTTTCTGAATCATGAACTAGAAATTAAAATGATGGTAAATACAAAATAAATTTTAAAAAATCATTCTTTCAATCATTCAATTTGACAGTCAAATCTAAATCATTGTGTCATCCGATGCTGTTTATTATCATTATTATTTTATCGCCTTTTTGTTTACTCTTTTTCCTCTTATTTCTTGAAGCTTTTTTTCTTTTTTAAATATTTTTTCTTTCTTTTTCTTCACTATATTCTCTTGTTTATTTTTTTTTAGATCTTTCAGCCTCTTGAAATTTTCGTCAATTTCTCTAAAGTTAGTGCAAAAGGTAATTTATTCGTTTTGCTTCTTATTTGACCTTTCTTTTTATCATCAATATTTGGCCAATGTAAATGGTTCTTCCAAACTTCTTCTGATTTTTCAGCAACATTTCTAGAATGCCTTTCTCGAAAATATACGGGGAAAGGTGTCGAAGTTTGAGGAAAATCCATCACTTGTTGACTTATATCTAGAGGATATTTAGAGGTACTGATTTTACTTATCATTTCTTTTTTCAACTAAGAGAGGATCAGCATGAGGACTCATTTCAAATTCGATATCCAAGATGCATTCATTATCAATACTAGCTTCAGCTCCTAAGTTTGACTTAACCCAGTGGTCTTCTTTTAATACGTACTTCTTCCATATTGACAAAAGTACAGGCTCTTGGACATTTTCGATATTGGACTCTTCAGTCAATGCTGCGTTAAAAATTTGCAACATATCTTGAGGGATTTCCCTCTCAAGCTTCTGAAGAAATTGAGTATCGTTTCTTTTTAACTCTGTTTTTTGTTGAGGAGCTTGCTTCTAAATTCTAACAGAGTAAAGTAGTTTTTATAAATTATATAACCACGTTGCTATCCTATAATGATAACTTATTAAGAGTTCTTGGTGCAAAAGCCAGCGAAAAAATTTTCTATTCAAATTTTTATGATTATATTTAATTAGTTTTCGATTTGTAAACATAGTTATATTAAGTTGCCTAACATTTGATGTAACTACACACCCCATTAATAAATATAAGTTATAATTTTTCCATAAATTAAGCTATTGAATTAACATTTTGAACTGAAATTATTTCAGGAATTATTCATTCAATTTTTAACAAAATTTCGGTTGTCCTCTATATAGCAGAATTACTTATCCTAGAGTCATGTAAAATCATATTTCACACATTACTGCTCATTCACTGGAAGTATTCCCAGTGAGGGAACATGCCTGTTTCTTCACTGGTTAGAAGTTGTTTTTTGTCTTTTAAACAGAATTTTGATGCATAATATGACTAAAAGTACAATAAAATTAAAAAATTTCTTCTATTTTCCTTAACTGGGAAAAGAACCCAGTAAAGAAACACTTATTCTTTCACTGGTTTTTCATCGTTTGGTGATCCAGTGAAGGAACATGCCTGTTCCTTCACTGATTAGAAGTTGTTTTTTGTCTTTTAAACAGAATTTTGATGCATAATATGACTAAAAGTACAAGAAAATTAAAAAATTTCTTTTATTTTCATTAACTGGGGGAAAAAAACAGTAAAGGAATACTTGTTCCTTCACTGGTTTTTCATCGTTTAGTGATCCAGTGAATAAACACCCCCTTATCTCAGTACTTGATTATGCTATGGTGCTTTAAAAATAATGAAACGTAACTTCAATAACTATATTTTGATTTCTCTTTTTCACAGTGAGAAAAATAAGACTATTACATGCAATTAATTCCACTTCAAACATATAGATACAAACACTCACCTTATAATTTTTTCATCGAAATAAGGTGTTGCAGAGATAATAACAAATTCAAAAATTTTTCCAGAGAAGTCTATTTGACCAGGCAATCCAAAACATTGCTAGATGACTTCCTATTGTTTGGCAGTAAGCTATTGTTACCAATCAATCTAAAGAAAAACTTTCAAATTCTAATTTTTAATCAATATATATGAAATGTTCCTTCACTGGATAGTGTTCCCTCACTCGTTGGTTTACCCTAATTAAGTGAAAACAATAACAATAATATTTTATTAAACCCTAGACGGGTTTTAATGACACATGGCACACTTTCAACCAGCCAAGTTATGTGGCAGAGATTGTAAAAACAGGTACTATGCCAGGAACTATGTCAGGAACGTTCATACATCATAAAAGACTGATGGGCTGAAGGTTACAGGTACAATTTTTCTTCAAGCAATATAAGTCACAAATATATTTCATATACTGATTTGGATTTCTGGGAGATATTTCATATGATACATTATAAAACACTGATGAGCTAAAGGTGAAAAGTTCGATTTTTCTTCAGCCAATATTAGTCTCAAATATATTTCATATATTGATCTGGATTTCTGGGAGACTTTTCACATCATCAAAAACACAAATCCTTTCATTTCACATTGGAATCAAATACTTAGAAAGCACTAATTTTTTGCTAATAGTTTCAAGTTTTTATTCTTTTAACCTTATGTTTTCCTCAATAATTAGAGTAAATGGATTTGTATCATGTAGGTTTTTACCGTCACTGTCGTTTTATCCTGCCTTCTGTTAAAGATGGACGCCTGGTGACTGAGCGGTAGCGCTTCGTGCTGTCGTGCCACAAGTCCCTGTTTCGATCCTGGGGCCGGGCAAGGTTGACTCAGCCTTTTATCCCTTCAGTGGGTCGATAAATGAGTACCAAGCATGCTTGGGGACTAAACACTGGAGGTTCCGCGTTCGGCTGACCACCTGACCGGAACATCTGCTCCTGCACCACAGAGCCCAAGGTCAAGAAAACTGAGATGGGTACAGTAGGCCTTGGCCCTCATGNGTGTCCCCTTCAGACATCTCCAGAGAAGCCTTTGCTGCCAGGCTAAGGTTGTAAGATTCCACCCAAAACTCTCCATTTCCTCTGATGGGTACAATTTTGATCACCTTTCCATCGATGCTATAGTTGCCCGAGCCTTTCATCCACGGAATTCGCAGATGAAACTGTAAAGACAGGTTTTGGATGTCTGCATTCATATACTCCATGACAAAACCAGACATTCCTAGGGAAAAAAAGATACATTGGAAACAATCAGGAAAAAATGAAAACTGAGAAAATGACGAAAGTAATCCTTTGTGATATAGGACAATAACAGTAATATTTTATTAAACCCTAGACGGGTTTTAATGACACATGGCACATTTTCAACCAGCCAAGTTATGTGGCAGAGATTGTAAAAACAGCTACTATGTCAGGAACTATGTCAGGAACGTTCATACATCATAAAAGACTGATGGGTTGAAGGTTACAGGTTCAATTTTTCTTCAACCAATATAAGTCACAAATATATTTCATATATTGATTTGGATTTCTGGGAGATATTTCATATGATACATTATAAAACACTGATGGGCTAAAAGTGAAAAGTTCGATTTTTCTTCAACCAATATTAGTCTCAAATATATTTCATGTATTGATCTGGATTTCTGGGAGACTTTTCATATCATCAAAAACACAAATCCTTTCATTTCACATTGGAATCAAATGCTTAGAAAGCACTGATTTTTTACTAATAGTTTCAAGTTTTTATTCTTTTAACCTTATGTTTTCCTCAATAATTGGAGTAAATGGATTTGTATCATGTAGGTTTTTACCGTCACTGTCGTTTTATCCTGCCTTCTGTTAAAGATGGACGCCCGGTGGCTGAGCGGTAGCGCTTCGCGCTGTCGTGCCACAGGTCCCTGTTTCGATCCTGGGCCGGGCAAGGTTGACTCAGCCTTTTATCCCTTCAGTGGGTCGATAATTGAGTACCAAGCATGCTTGGGGACTAAACACTGGAGGTTCCGCGTTCGGCTGACCACCTGACCGGAACATCTGCTCCTGCACCACAGAGCCCAAGGTCAAGAAAACTGAGATGGGTACAGTAGGCCTTGGCCCTCATGGGCTGCCGCGCCGCTGAGTTTAGTTTAGTTCTGTTGAAGGTGATAGGAGAAAAATAAGAAGAACAGCGTTAAACCAAAGTGATGAGAAAGGTAAGAAGAACAAAAAACAAATTAAAGTGATGATGAGAGATTTGAAGAAGGAAAAAAATCAGAGAGAGCGAAATAGTATGAGAAGAAATCAAAGAGTTGAGAAAAGGGAAGACGAAGATGAGAAATATAAGAACGAAAATAAATCATAACGATTATCAGAGATAATGATTATCAAGGATATAAAAGATAAATGAAAGTGATGGACAAAAAAGGATAAAAATAAATCGAAGTGATGATCAGTGATAAAAAGAACAAAGAGAAAGAAAAAGAAAGATAAAAATAAATCAAAGAGAGAGAGAGACAAAAGGGAGTGAAGGATTGAACTAATTTAAGTAATATCTCTCAAATTTTGATATAAACTCAATGTGCTCAAAGAAAATTTTGTAATGTGTCTACGTTAAGCAAAATTACTGTTTAGTACACTTTTAACTGTTCTCTTATAAATATTAAATCAGAAATAAAAACATTTTAAATCCAATTCACTTAATACAGGTTGAAAAAAAATTTAATTCCAAACCACATATTTTTATCTGTCTTGAAAGTTTGAA